GCTTCCATGATCTTCTTCTTTTGCTTTTGCTTTTCTTTCTCTGGTGTGCTATGTGTATGTAAAAGCTGAATGATAGAATCAACATACCCATCACAGATTTAAGACTTCATTTCATTTCCTCCTGAATTCCTCTACCTTCTTTTCCCGTTTTTACTTGAAACTTTCTAGTAAAGCGGAAATCACACGAAGTTATGTCATTATCACTTCATGTATATGTTCTGGAACACTAGCTACATACCCAAATATCTAACGCCAATCTATTTGTCATACCGGATAAAAATATGATCATCCATCGTGAATACCTAGTGGCAGGAGTAGGACAATGGGGATCTACAACCATGAATCGCAGAGCTGAATTGATCCTGAAGGCAAAACCTTAAACATTATGCAACTTCGACTTTACATAATATCCCTCTGGCCTTGTTTCACATTTTTCGAAAAGGGGCGCTTTATTACTTAAAAGGTTTTAAGTATTACACCCGGGCTCTGCATAACTATGATACACACAGCCAAACAAGTTCTCTCACACAAATGAAAATTAAGAAGGCGAAATACAAAGAAACAGAGTATGTATAACGCCTAAAGCGGAGGTGGGCCAATCCTAAGATCATGCTGCCACCCACGTTGGGTAAAAGTATCCCTCGCCGTATCCTCCAATCGTGTACACACCTCCGTAAAACAGGTCTCGATTCTCCATACATTGTAGAGAGGACCATAAACGAAGAGTCCTGGTACACCTATAGATAACCTGCATCAGAGAAGGTTATCACCTTTATTCTTTGGACATTCATGATTTGTTTCCTTTAACTCTTTATCTGTCAGAGAACCGTAGTCTTTGCTTGCTGATGTAACCAAGCATCGCACTCTTCCTTCGGTCGATGTTTGAGTTTTGTGTATATATAAGTGATGAGTCCAGGCGTTGAGACGCCCGTCCCTCTTCTGTCCTAGCCATTTGTTTCTCCTACCACCAAAACGATTGACACTGTTCTTCTAATTCCTTCGTCTTCTAATAGCTAGAAGCATCATTTCGATTTGAAATTTTGTTGGTGTTTTCACTCGCTTTTGTGGTTTCACATCCAGTCTAGGATTAATCCTTTTTCTAGTCATCAATACAAAAAAAAAGTTGGTGTTTTCACTCACTTTTGTGGTTTCACATCCAGTCTGGGATTAATCATTTTTCTAGTCATCAATACAAAAAAAAACAAAAAATAGTTGGTGTTTCCCCCTTTCCATTCTCGTTCTCCCACGTGTAAAAAATAGTCTTTGTCCCTAGTGATCAACACAAAAAACCAAAAACATATGTGCATGTTCTAGTCGTTCCAAATGAAAAAGAATTATATTTCTTGTTTCCTTGTTCATTGTTGTCCTTTCACATCGACAAAACACTCTTTGTTCTAGTGATCAATACAAAAATCAATTGATTGCATTCTCCACTTCGCCATTGCTCTTCCACATTTACACTACAATCCCATTTCCTAGTGATAAACATTGAAAAAAATTCATTTGTGTTTCCCTTCACCGTTGTTTTTTCAGATCTGCAACTACTCCTTTTATCTAGCTCTAGCTTTTGATTGATAAAATAATACAAAAAAAGTCATTAGCTTTCCATCATTGCTATTGTGTTATTCTCTTATCCAGACTTTGTTCTCTTTCTGCGGATAAATACCGGAAAAAAAAAATCTTTGGTTTCACCCCACTGTTGTTTTTCCACATTTATCATTGCTTGCTTTTCTAGTTACAAGCTCCACTAGAAACACCAAAAGATTCCTGGCTTGTCCCAGTACTGAGATATTTCAAGTGAATATGGTTGAGGTCATTTCTTGACATCCGTATTACGGTGCCTAATTCAACCACCAGGTACTTTATATATTCTCCTTTGTGATTTTTTACTCACTTCTGGGCTATATAACAAGCAGTGTCAATTTGTTTGTGTTTCTCAGGACCATACAAGGAAGCTAGTGTGCACCTTTTAAGCAGAAACATGAACACTTAATGTTTATACTATACAAAGTTATCCCCAGTTCAGGTTTCTTAGCCGCTGAGAGGTAAAACATACATTGATGGTTAATGAATCAGTATTATGTCTACAAAGCTCACCCAGTACGGTTTACTCTATTAAAAGTTAGTACATGGTTATGCTTACAATGTTTATGTCATATCTATATAGTCCATTCATTCGTGATGTAAGATGTTGGAAATAATCTTGACGTGCGTGCGGCCAAGTTGTCGCGTGGAGCCGGCAACTGAAGCAGCGAGCCGTGCCCTTGTGGCCGGATCTTGCGGCTGCCAAGGTCGTGGGCTGTTTGTTGGCTGCATGCATGGTTGTTAGCTGCATGTGTATGTGCTAGCTGACTTATGCGTTTGTGGACTTACTTAGTGCATCCGTGGGTTAGCTGGTTAGCGTGTGAGTGCATGTGTGCCTGGAGGTAGTAGGCGAGTCTGGCGCCTGATTTAATCAGCTGTAGCCTCTATGTTCAGTGCAGTGCCTGTTCGTGTAGGTGGCAGTGCCAATAGATGGCGAGTGGCTGTGAGGGCGGCTAGGAGTCAGAAAAGGTAGTCGCGTGTGTAGCATGAGTAAGAGTTGGTGTGAGTTGCCATGTACTTGTGAATCATGTGAGTCGTGAATACAAAAAAAGCTTTTGCGTTTGTCGCCGCAGGCGTTCGTTGCTGAATAATGAGTTCGTGTCGAGTTTGTCTTTTCCTTCCGGCGTTCGAGTCTCCGGAGGCACAGCTCAGCGTTCGTCGCAGAGGCTGTTCGGCGTATGTCCCCAGAGGCAACTTCAACATAAGAGATTTCAATGTGATGGTTATGCTCACAATCATTCATGCTGTGTTCCTTTCCTTCAATAATTTATCTACTGAGCAAAATGTATTGTTTGCTTTTTGCTGTAACCAAGCATCCCATCTTTTGACCATTTGATGGTTCAGTTTCTCAGTTTGGGTATATATAAGTCATAAGAGTGCATTCGTTGAAACCCCTCGCCCTCTCATCCTAGCCATTCCTTTTTTTTTCTGCAACTAAAATTTTCAATATTGTTCCTCACAATTCTTTCATTTCTGTCCTAGCTAGAAGCATTACTTCAATTTCAACTATCATTGGTGTTTTCACTCATTTTTGTGCTTTCATATCTATTTTATGATTAATCTTTTTCTAGCCATCAACAAAAAGAACTGGTCTTTCCCCTCTTGATCGTTGTTCTTTCGCATATACGAAATAATCTTTGTTTGTAGTGATTAATAACAAATAAGAAAAAAAAATATCCCCTTCTCTATTCATCATTACGAATACATAAAATCCATTTCTGTTTTCCCTGTTAATTGTTGTTCTTTCGCTCATCCAAAATAGTGCTTGTTTCTAATGATTAATACAGAAAAAAAATTGATTGCTTGTTCCATTTACCATTATAATATTGCTCTTGCACATCTATGGTACAATCCCTATTTTCATCGAGTAATCATTATTTTGAAAAATGATCTCTGTTTCCCTTTACTACTGTTATTTCATATCTGCAACTACTCCTTTTATCTAGCTTTTTGTTTTTTCAATTGTGTTCTTGCATCTAGACTTATTTTCTTTTTTCCAATGATCAATACAAAAGAAAATCATTGGCTTCTCCCATTTGTTGTTTCTTCATGTTTAATTTGCTTGCTTTTCTAGGTATCAATTCCAACAAAAATACCAAAAAGATTGTTGATTTTTCCATTTATTGAGAGTTTTTCAAGTAAATCCAGTTGATCAGATCGATCATCTCTTGTCATTCATACTATATACATACAGGGCCACATTCTACCAACAGGGTGCTTTTTTTGTAATTTTTTTCTTGGCTGTATAACACCTAAAAATGTCATCTGCTTATGTTTTCTCAGGACCGTGGAAGGAAATTAGGTGCAGCTGTCAAGCCAAGTCAAAAAGAATTAATATTTGTTTGCCAGCCTTCAGTTTAAGTGTTACTGAATATTGTTTCTTGGTGATCTAAGATCCTGCATGTGACAAGTTATTCCCGGTTCAAAGCTTCTCAGAAGGCCAGCCCAGAGCTAAGAGGTAAATCTATGGTTAATTTTGTCTGTACTGAATTCAATCGTATAGCAATCTCTATATCTGCACTGATTCTTGACATAAATTTAGGTGTCTGTTTACCAAAAAAAAAAAACCTGGTACTAGGAAAATTACTAAGTGTAACTACAGAATAATTAAAAAAAGATAATATGTAATCAATATATCTTGCCATTTGTTCTAGAGCAAAGAGTTCATACCTGCTCTTATCTCAGACTGTTTGTGCCCGATCTACATGTTCTGTAGACAAAAGTGAATAGGCCGATGCCAAAGGCTGGCATTTTTCACGTAGGTATCCCCTAAAAATGATATTCGAAGAAATTTAGAGGACAAGCAAGAGATATGGACATCTAAAAAATAATTTAACAGAAAAAATCGACATTACCGACGGACATTCGTGCCAAATAGAACTGTTTCCTATCCTCCTCTCGCTCCAAGTAAAAGACTCTTCACCCAGAAAAATCAAAAGCTGCTCCACTTGTATCTCCCCTTGACCATATTACCACCGCAGATTTGGAATGTTCCTTCCTTGAACTTGTGATCGAGAAACACCCATGGAGGGTATCCTTCAGCTCTTTCTTCCGCCACCATAAATGGCAGCCACCACCTTCCTAGTACAATGTACTGCACACTGTTTTGGTCCTTACTTTTCTTAGTATGTCATACACAGAACTGTACTTTCTTATCTTGCCAACGTTCCTTGTAGAGCAAGTGTCAGATTTCTAGTAGTAGGAGTACTATCCAGTTTAGCTTGTTCAGTGATGGTTGCTTTATATATAAGGCGGGGGAAACCCTTTTTGTCAGCATGCACGCTATATAGAAATTTTGTTTCGCTGATTATGCTGGCGATATTGTGATTCCATATGAATAACCGATTCACGTCATCTTTTTCTTGCAGGTCAATTTGTCCAAACTAGCAAGTTTGTTACACTACTGAACATAAGTCATGGCATCATCTTCATGGGAAAAATGGCCCGATCATGTGCGGGATAAGTGGCGTGATGATTTGAGAGATATAGATTTTTGGTATGATTTGTAACTTCCTAATTTACATTCTTTACTTTTACAGCGTGCTTCTTATTAGTTTATCCATGTCTTTTTATTGTTAGAACTACCTTAAAGTGGCAATTTTACTTAATTATCATAAAATTCATTTAAACTAAATCTATATCTGACAAGATGCCCTATCCCCAAACACATATAGTACTCTAGCATAGAAGTAGAGGCTGAAATCCTATCTTGAGGTTGCTTGGCCCCTGCCGCCAATAGAATTAGATGTTACCTGCAACAAAAGTTGATAGAAATAGATATGAACTAACATGCCGGTGTACAAATTAAGTTGAATAAGGTTGCATTTGATTATGCGGTGTATTTTGTAAAGTATTTTTTTTCCTTTTTTGACATAATAGTTTACTGAAATTATGTTTTCTTACTGCAACAAAACAGTTCATCCACTGTAGAGCATCCTGTCTGGTTCGTCCACTGTAGTCGTCGAGTTGCACTCCAACTCGCTGGTTTCCCACATTGTAACCACCGTTCTATTATGTCTCAAGAGATAATTCAATTCAAGCAGGAGTATGGCTATTACCCTAGCCTAGGGGGGCCGAACCTAGGTAAAATCATGTTTAGTGATCCCTGGTAATCCGAGCATAACCATACGACCAAACAAATCACGTACAAATATTGTACCATTTATGGGCATCGGCATAATTATCCTCCATAGCTGGCGCCAACGGTGGGGACTTCGCAACATCAGATCAAATCTACATCATCGACTTCGATTCTGTTCGGCGAGAAGGAATACTTAGGAAACCTCGGTCAAGGGTTACACATCCACCTCATCTTACGCCGAGTATGCCAGCTAGGAAGATGAAAACTACTTCCAGCCAGGCTTAAAATGGAATGCATTGGCATGGGTTCCAGGTAGCCCCCTGGCTGGAGGGTTACTTTGGCTACCAGCTGGAGAATCAACTCGCTAGTTCCTACACCGACCATTGCCATGAGACGAGCGACATTGGCTGTCACCATTGCCACGCAGCATGGCAGTGTAGCACGGGATGCACGCCGGAATGGACCAACGGAAAGCGCAAGGGTGTAGAGGCTTGCGTGAAGCGATGCGGGAAGGCGCGGCGACGTGTGGCAACGGGGCTGCGCAGGGAGGTGGCCGACCGGCAAGCGGCGGTCGCTAGGCTGCAGGGCAATCCGGATGCCTTTGTCGTTGTTGAACCCTTGAGCCAATTCATAGAACTTGACACCAAATCTCGGCGTCACGTACGCTCGGAGAGAATCCCTCACCTTTCAACCCCGCGAAGCTGGTAGGAATCTAAGCCAGAGCTCCATCTAATCCGTCCCGACAAACGAACTCGAGGAGGACCGGGTCTGAAAGACTGACTCGAAGAAGAAGTGTCGCCATTCATCTGAGCGATGCCCCTGCGAGGACTAAAACCGTAACCTATCTACTAGTTGGAGCCGAGGCACTAGGATTCCCCTCCCCACTACTGGCAGCCGGAGCAGCAAGTAGAGAGGGGAGGCGAATCCACTGGCTTACCAGCAGAGATCGTGGGGAGAAAGGCTTTGCCCTTGTCGCCTTGCAAGGGAGGAAAGGAAGACGTCACACTCTAGAAGTAGATCTTAATGATCATGTGTTTTTTATGACAATGGAATGACCATGTTGCTTTGTGGCTTAAATATTGTGTGTTCGTTTTTCCGATGTTGGTCTGACCATTGCTTTGTGTGTCATGTATATTCTTTCGTAAGAAATATATTAAGTACTTCTACTTTTTTTTTGCCAAAAAAATTCGTCATACATGAAGGAAGTACTCCGATTGTGCATGTGTATTATTTGTTTTCTGTAATTTTTTTACATATTATATACCTAATCTATATATACCTACTAATAAAGGGGCTATCGCTTTTGCCCGTTTGTCGTTGTTCTTTTTACAAACCCCCCTCTGTTTTCTAGTAATTAACCCGCCGTCAAAATTTAAGTTGGAAAACAAACCGGGTTTTAAAGTTTTACAGAAAACCTCCTCACTTTTCTGATAAATAACCCACACTCCATGATAGAAAACGAATTGTTCTTCCGCGTTTTAGCGGAAAACCCTGCCATTTCTGTTATTAACCCGTAATCCATCTAGAACAAATAGTAATTTTAAAAATATTCATATCTTTTAAACCATAACTTCAATTTTAACATGTTATATACCCCCTCCGTTCCTAAATATTTGTCTTTCTAGAGATTTCAACAAGTGACTACATACGGAGCAAAATGAGTGAATCTACACTCTAAAATATGTCTATATACATCCGTATGTGGTATTCTATTTGAAATCTATAAAAAGACAAATATTTAGAAACAGAGGGAGTATGAATTTTGATTAGAAAAATGTGTACAATGTGAATACGATATTATTTTTAACTAACAAACATTTCAAAAAAAAAAACTCTATTTAGGGTGCAACCTTAATCAATAGCGTACGATCCATCTTTCTTTCGTACCGACATCGACCCAAATTGCAAATGAACACCTCAGCAAAACCAAATTAGAAACGAAAGAAACCGTCGATAACCATGCATGCACGCCTCGGCAAAAACCTTGCATGGGAAGAATGTTGATTTCTCATCTTATGCCAAGAGAGAGACGTCTCGACATGACCAATTGGGGGTCTTGAGACATGGTTATTGGGTTAGGGTCGTGCAGTATTTTTCCATTGCTACGCACGGGCACTTTTGCCAGTAATAATAAAGCGGCTATTACCTCTGGTGGCACGTCACGGAAAGTGCCCTCAAAGATGCAAAATATTACCCACCAATGCCATCTAGTACTGATAAAAGCCGTTTCACACATGGGAATCTCGTGCCTAGACCGGCCACGCAATAGGGACCTCCTATACTGCGCTCTATGCGCTGGGAGAAGACGCAACGCGCCCATTTGGGCCGGCTCATGTCCTGGCGGCCTATTTTTTGAAGTTTATTTTTTTCCTTCCCATTTCATTTTATTCCACTTCAAATAATTTGGTACTTCAAAAAAGTTCTGAAAATTAAAAAAATAAGTGAATTTTGAATAAAATGTTTAAGAAATCATAAAATCTTTGTGGATTCAAAAAATGTTCATGATTTTATAAAAAAAATTCTTATTCAAAAAAGTTTCAAATTTGGAAAACAAATGTTCGGCAAATCATAAATGTTCATGATTTTTAAAAAGTTCGTGTATTAAAGAATGTTAATGAAATTTAACAAAGTTTCGCCAGTTCAAAAAATATTCATGGGCGAAAACATATCCTAAAAATTCAAAAATTGTTAGTGACTTATAAAATAGTTTATTCATTAATACAATTTTGGCTGATTCAAAACTGATCATGCCATCCAGAAAATGTTCTTTGAATAAAAAAATGTTGGTTAAATTAAAAAAATGTTCATGAATTTAAAAAATTGTTCAACCAATTTCCAAAACAATGTTTGTCCATTCTAGAAGTGTTCGCCGACTCAAGAAAATTGTTAGAAAAATGTTTGCAAATAGTATAAAATGTTATTTATTTTAGAAAATGTTTGAAATTTCTAAGTGTTCATGAATTTAAAAATTGGCCATGATTTCGAATTTGTGTACGAGTTTAAAAAAATGGTCATGATTTGACAAAATTGAGACTCATAGTGTATCTCGATGATGCAGCAAAATGTGATCATGGCCATTGAACATTATGATTTTTTTTCTCCTGTTGCACGGGCCCTTTTGCTAGAATTAATGGAACGAATTGCTTATGGGTCCGTTGGTTATATTATTTGTACGCATGCATTTTGTAGTTTACAAGTTCCATATGAGAGACTGGTTGGAGTAATCAAGCTGATCGAGCGTGACAGATTGATGTTGACCAGCCGGCTAGCCAGCTGTTGACCATTTTGATTAGTAACGTAAGTGCTAATAGTTAATTCATTGGACACCTCACACCTCT